AAATTCATCTAGTAAAATTATAATTAAAAATCTATAAATATATATGATTACTTCACAAGTGTGAACGATAGTTAAAAATAGATGATTTAATATGGAATGATCTAAATAAAATGTATTATTATTTATTATGAATAATTTAATAGGTGAACTCTAGTCATGTAACGGGAAACGTAGACAATCTGGAAGGTGGTTTAGATGGTGTTGTACAAGCCATAGTGTGCAATGAGCAGGTAGGATGGGCACGACAGGCGCGAAAATTGATGTTAATTGCCACTGATGGATTGATGCACTTTGCTGGCGAGGGTAAACTCGGCGGAGTAGTTAATCGGAACGATTTCTCATGTCATCTTAATTCTAACGGTGAATACACCAAGTCCAAGATATTCGATTACCCCTCGCTGGCTGAAATTTCGCGTCTTCTAAAGCAGCGGAAGGTTAATTTAATTTTCGCCGTCGCCCAGGACCGAAGATTTGAGTACGAACAAATTGCCGCTCTGCTGGAAGAAAAAGCCCGCGTAGCCACTTTGGCTGCCAACAGCTCCAACATTTTAGAAATTATAAAGCAATCTTATCGTGACATTGTTACGAAAGTTGTTTTGCGCGATAATTCGACGGATTTAATAGACGTTAAGTATTACTCAAAATGTGGGAGTTCCGATAAACCGGAAATTATGACATCCGAGTGTAGTGGGATACAAGAAGGTCAAGTTTATGATTTTAAAATAGAGTTATCTTTAGCTGATTGTCCAACCAATGAAAGTCTTTGGGTAAGATTTTATTTCTTTTTTCTTATACATATATTTTTTTAAAATTAATTTAGCGTACCTACATTTGATAATTTTATAAAAAATAAATTATGACAAAAAAAAATTTTTTTTTTAAATTGACATGTAGAAATTTTAAAAAATTAAAAATACAATTTTTTTTAAATAATTTTTTGGAACCAATTTTTTTGTTAAATAAAATTAAAAAATTGTCAAGTGACTGCTAACTTTAATGTCATTTTTTTTTAATTATAAATTATTTATTAAATTAATTAATTATAATTTTTTTTTTTTTTTTTTTATTATACTCAGTGATATCTGTGGTGAAAAAAAATTTCAGATTGTAGCTAAAAAAATCCAGATTATACTGCGTGATATCTGGATTATAATTGTAATCTGAATTATACTAGCTACTATCTAAAAAATTTTTTCGCTCAGTATAATCTGGGATGATATCCAGTGTCATCTTGTTCTTTCCGTGTAGGAGATTCCTTATGAGCAATTTATAAATTAAATAAAATAATTATATTTTTTTTTTTAGAAACAAACTATAATAATAGATGATGCACTTGCATCAGAGGCTTCTAAGACATTGATAGAAGTTGAATTGCAATGTGGATGTGATTGTGAAAAAACTTCACCCCGGTGTAATAATGGGATTGATGAATGCGGAATTTGTAAATGTCATAATGGATGGTCTGGTTTGTAAATTAATTATTATATTTTTACTAAACTGACAATTTATAATAATTAAATTAAAAAAAATTATATAAAAAATAATTGGTCTTTACTATGAATAATTTTTATTAATACAAAAATTGTATAAAGTCTGTCGGCATTAATTTGATCTGTTAAAAATTTTTTTTAAATTATTATTTGATTTTAAAGTAATTAATTTAAATATTTATAGGAGAAACGTGTGACTGTGATGAGAGTAGATGGACATTAAACCGCTTACAGTGTATAAAACCCGGTGATTTAAATGAAGTTTGCTCAAACCGCGGTGAATGTACTTGTGGTTCATGTAACTGTGATCCAGGATATAATGGGAAGTACTGTGAGTGCTCACCTTGCGATAAGGTAATTCAAAAAAAAATATTTTGCAAATTCACTAGTGATATAATTATCATCTTATTATGCTGAATAAATATTAAGTTTTATTTGCGAAAGAGTACATCGAGGTGATACGATGAGAAGAAATTTTATAATGTTTCTGTCTTTAGTAAACATGAATATATTTTATTGAAGAGTTTTTTTTGCTAAACCTAGATTTTATTTGCAGACTAATGGAATCGAGTGTGGTGGAAGAGGAAGGTGTGACTGCGGTGTTTGCACTTGTTTAGATGGATGGGAAGGAGATGTATGTGAATGCCCGACAAGCAATGAACTTTGCATAGCACCTGGAAGCAATGATGTTTGTGCTAATCACGGATTTTGTGATTGTGGACAATGTCGGTCAGTTTTATATCGTCTTTCATAAATTTTAAATATTTTTATAGTCAATTATAATTTTTTTTTATTTTGTAATAAATTAATTACAGTAATAAAATGCTTCTCAAAATTTATGAAAATTAAAGTAGCAGATATTTGATAATTTTTAGAATTTTTTTAAGATTTAAATTACTGCAAAAAAAATTAGAAACAAAAATTGATTTGTAGAAATTTAACAAAATTAAAAATACAATTTCTTAAAAATACTTTTTCAGAACAAATTTGTTTATAAAAAATGATTAAGTGACTGCTTACTTTAATGTCATAAAAATTTCCATCAATCATTTTTTTTTAATTTTTCAGATATGGAATTTAAAAAAAAATTTTTTAATAATAATTTTATTACTATAAAATTATGACATTGAAGTTAGCAGACGTCTAAAAATTTTTGATTTTTTTTTATTAATTAAATTACAACTAAAAAGATATTTTTAAAAAATTTCACTAATACCTTTTTAAGTTTTTTACATGTGACATTTATTTTTTTTAATTTTTCAATGGAAATCTTTTCAATAAAAAATTTCTAAAAATTTTGAAATGTCGGCTAACTTATATTTTCATATAAAATTCTATAAAAATTTCTAATGTCTGTCAACTTTAGTGTCATAACTATGAAGTATTAAATGTTTCTGTTTAGATGTAATGTAACTGCGCCAGGAGATGGTTTATTATACCGTGGAACTTATTGCGAATCATCAGCTAGCATTGGAGGAAGTGGTCTTTGTATTTTGTACGAGTCGTGCGTCAATGTGACAGTTGAAACGCCAGAAAAGACTGATGAGTACTGTCATAGGAACGGTACTTCTAAATACGAAATAGAAAGAGTTCACGAAGTTGATACTTCTAGCGACCATTATTGTATTGTTAGAACTGTTCGGGATTCTACTATTTGTACTATTCCATACGTTTACAAATTCACGGAAGACAACAGAGTTCTTCTTATAATCGGCGATAAGGTAATTTAATTTTATACTTAAAAAGAAAAAATACATTTTATAAATTAGATAAAAACTATTTAAATCATAAAAATTTCTTTTTTTTTGCGATATAGTTAAAATAATTCATTGAATATTCTTCCTACAGTTTTGTCAAACTCCATTACCAGCGGCTGTATTTCCTGGGGTGGTATTTTTCGCAGTTGTCGTCATGGGAATAATTGCCTTGATAATTTGGAAGTAAGAATTTTTTTAACATATTAATAATATTGTTACACAACAATAAGTATTAATTTTTAATAATTTATTGGTTGATGTTTTTTTTTTTTAGATGTTGGACCGCAATAAAAGACAAAAGAGAATACGCTAAGTTTGAACTCGAACGTCAAAAGACAGTTTATGCATTAACACAAAATCCTATTTACCGGCCTGCGACTACTGAATTTAGAGTTCCTGATTCTTATAAAGAAGATTAGGAATAATTAATATATCTTAAATCCAAAGCTCTTATCTGTATTTTATTAATAAGTAAATATTTTTTTGTTAAAAAACTTCAGTTACGAAACTGAAATGTACATGTAATTAATGTAATAACTGAAGCGAAATTAAAAAAAAGCAAAAGAAATATTTTATAAGCGGTTTTTCCGGTTTTTCTTACAGCACGTTCAATAAATACAATTTTTTTTTTAGATTTTTGTAACAATTAAATTATTATGAAAAAAATGGAATAAAAAAAAATTGTACATGTAAAAATTTTTAAAAAATTTTCAAAAGTGCGAATTTATAAAAACATTTTTTATCATAGTTTATTCGTTATAAAAATTAATTTAGCAAACTGTTGATAATTTTAAGAATTTTTGTAATAAATAAATACTTGATGTCAAAAAAATTTTTTTTTTTTAAATTGACATTTAGAAATTTTTAAAAATTAAAAATGCAATTTATTAAAAATAATTTTTCCAACAAATTTATTTGCTGAAGATAATTAAATAATTGTCAAGTGACAGCTAAATTTAATTAATGTCATAAAAACTTTTCAGATGTTCTGATTGTAATACATGAAATTGAAGTTAGCCGACACTTGACAATTTTTTAATTTTATTTGACAAAAAAATTTGTTCCAAAAAATGATTTTTAAAAAATTGCATTTTTAATTTTTTTCAATTTCTACATGTCAATTTTTTTTGAGTCATAATCATAATTTATTTATTACAAAAATTTAAAAAATTATCAAATATCTGCTAAATTAATTTTAATTTGTAATACTGGTCATATTTAGAGCATGTTCAAATGCTATCACAACATTATTAGATAATAAATAAAAAAAATTCTATTATATCACGCGCATTACATCATATGTTCCAGAACTACGAAGCAACACCATCTGTTGATCCGCTAGTCCAAGCTAGATGTCAAAAATAATAGTCGAAAATCGTCGTAACCCCATCACACACAAGACACAGACACAAGTGTCTTGGGTACGTTTGGATTTTTTTAATCAGTAAAAAAAATTAACGGAATTGTAAATATTGTATAAGATATAACACCTATTGAGCATATCAATATCATCATTAATAAATAGTGATAATCGTTCGATTATCACGTGACCTTGTGGACGACCTCTGACTTGAAATAGTCCCAACGTGTAGTTGATTGTTAATCACAATCATCACCGAATAATTGTCTCAATTAATATAAATCTCACACTTAATATTAAACAGTGGGGTTTTGTGATAATTAACAATAAATTTAATTTAAAAACACTGAGATAATAAATAAAAAAAAATAAAATTTTAAAAACGACTTTAAAATGTTGCTACGAACGACTGCTCAACTCCGTAATGATTTGGCTCGTGTCACCCTACGTAATTCTATTCGTACAAATGTCGTCAGATGTTTAACCACACGATGTCTTCACAGAAGATCACTCCAAAGGTATTATTATTATTATCATCATCATCGAGATAATTCAATTATTTTGACGTCTTTTGTTTCAATCAATAATTCAATTATTCATACTCTAGTTAATAACATATAAGGTTAAACTTAAATTAGATTAGATTTATCAATAACTATTATTATATTGATTAAATTTAGGTATCAAGGATCAGGTGGGAAATTTTCAGTTGAACCATGGAGACAACAATTTAGATACTATGCTGATTATCCAGATCATATTAAAGTAGCCCTGCCTGCATTATCACCAACTATGGAAACAGGAACTATTATTAGTTGGCAAAAAAAAGAAGGTAGTAATTATTTATTTAAATAATTATTAGCACAAAGTTTTATTTTATTCGTAAAATTATCAGGCTAATTAAATGATATATTAATAAAATACTTACTCCGAAGTAAATAAAAAATTAAATACAATTTATCAAAAATAAATATCTAATGAAATGACTAACAGCACGTTTATTCCAGGTGACAAATTAAATGAGGGTGATCTGTTAGCTGAAATAGAAACTGACAAAGCAACCATGGGCTTTGAGACACCAGAAGAAGGTTATTTAGCAAAAATAATCCAACCCGCAGGAGCTAAAAATATTGGAATCGGTTCTCTTGTGTGTATAATTGTGTCTGACGAGGGAAGTGTAGCTGCATTTAAAGATTTTAAAGATGACGGATCAGCAGCTTCAGCTCCTAAGGCTGCTCCTGCAGCTGCAGCACCTCCTCCACCTCCACCACCAAAAGCTGCACCTAAAGCAGCCGCACCACCACCTCCGTCAATGCCTACTACTGCTGGAGACAGAGTCTTTGCAAGTCCTTTGGCCAAGAGATTGGCTGCCGAACAAGGATTGAGTTTGCAGGTATTTTTTTATTTTTAAATATTCTTCAATGTATTTTTAATGATAATTAATTTAGCAGATATTTGATAATTTGAAAAATCGGCGTAACAAATAAATTATGGCAAAAAAAAAAATTGACCTGCAATTTTTTAAAAATAGTTTTTTGGAAAAAATTTTTTTGTTAAAAAAAAATTAAAAAATTGTCAAATGACAATTAAATTTAATGTCATGTATTTTTATCAATGTACGTGTATCATTAATTGTTAATTACTTTTAGGGATTGAGAGGCACAGGATTGTTTGGGTCAATAACAGCTAAAGATTTAGGAGGAGCAGGGCCTGCAATGTCTGCTGGTACAGCTCACGCCGGTGGTATGGACATTCCAGTATCGAATGTCCGAGGTGTAATTGCCAAACGTTTACTCGAAAGTAAACAAACAATTCCTCATTATTACCTGACAATCGACGTGAAGATGGACGCTGCTCTAAAAATGCGCGAACAATTCAATCGTATGATGGAAAAAGAAAATGTCAGGGTTAGCGTTAATGATATTATTATCAAAGCTATGGCTATGGCGTGTAAAAAAGTACCAGAAGGTAACAGTGCTTGGCTTGGAAATGTTATCCGACAGTAAGTATTTATTTATAGAAAATTTTGATACTCTGATAGTGAATTAATGATTTAATTTTATTCTTTATTTATTTATTTATTTATTTATTTATTTATTTATTTATTTATTAAATATTATAAAAATTTTTCCTTACAAGCTACAGATACAATTCAACTTATTATTAATATTTTAATAATAATAATAATAATAATAATAAGTGGAATTGTATCTGTAGCTTGTAAGAAAAAATGTTTATAATGTTTATAACATTTAAAAATAACTTAAATGTTAATGCTTTGTAAAACACATAAATGTGATACAAATAAAACTTTTATCTATCTTATTTATTTATTAGGTACGACAATGTAGACGTAAGTGTAGCTGTGAGTACAGAATCAGGCTTAATAACTCCAATAGTATTTGGTGCTGATTGGAAAGGTATAGCGCAAATAAGTAAAGATGTTAAAGCTCTTGCTGCCAAAGCGAGAGAAGGTAAACTCCAGCCACAAGAATTCCAAGGTGGTACGATAACAGTCTCTAATTTAGGAATGTTTGGTATTAAACAATTTTCGGCGATTGTTAATCCACCGCAGTCGATTATTCTCGCAATAGGAACCACTGAAAACAGACTTATACCTGCTGACAATGAAAGAGGGTAAAGAGGAATTTTATTCCTTATTATTTATTAGGGTGTGCCAAAATTCAATTTCCGTGAAGAACCTTTTAAAATTTCAATTTTGAGTTGCGCTTTTAACAGGAGCTGTGTTTGAGCATTTCCTGAGATATTTTGGGTTGAGACGATTTATTTGATTTTCATAAAATTTTTAACAGGAGCTTTTTGAGCATTTTCGGCCAAATACAAAAATTTCAGCGGAAATGCAGAGCTAAAAATTCCAATTTTAAAAGATTCTTCACGAAAATTGAATTTTGGCATACCTTATTATTTATTTTTATTTTATTTATCACAAGTGTAATCAATATTAAATATTTTATTCTCTAGTTACAACTCTGCGCAATTTATGTCAGTGACTGCAAGTTGTGATCACAGAACAGTCGACGGTGCTGTTGGTGCCCAATGGCTCTCAGCGTTCAGAAGTCTCATGGAAAATCCAATGACCATGTTATTGTAATAGCCATAATGATTAATGATAATTAAAACTCTTAAAAAATAGTTGAAGCACACATGAGGATAAACTACAACCAAGTATTCTCAAGTACAGGATGATAATCACTTTGGGAAAGATTTTATTTACAGAAAGAAAATTTTCGATACGTCCTTTTTTAATTCATTTATTGTCGTATTGATATGACATTATTTTTGAAGCGGTATCATCTTCAGTACGGATTAGTTCAAATTTTAGGAATGGAAACAGATAAAGTTCACAGAGTGAATCAATCAAATTTATTATTATTATTTTTTCTTTTTTTAGTGTTTGTAAAATATTAAAATGACTTTGTTGCAAAGTCTGTTGTATGACTCTATCGACAAACATTATTTATATAGATCGTTATTGCTATTGTCATTTAATTAAAGGTTCTCAAATGATATATTCATTGGTTCGCCTTTGTGTACATACAATTTCGCTGAAATATATATATTATAAATTATTAAAAACAGTATACAAATATCACATGTGACTAAGGCCATCAAAATATCAGATAATGTAAAAACAAAAACAAAATAAATTATAATTAGTTAAAAATATTTATTTTTTCAGTGTATAAATTTGATCTTGACATTGGAGAAAAATAAATTATAATTATTATTTTTTTTTGTTTATAAACAAGTTCATTGTTGATAGAAAAAAAATCTTGAGATTTATTTTTTAAAATATAATTTTATTAATGACATTAAAGTTAGCAGTCACTTCACAATTTTTTTATTTTATTGAACAAAAAAATTTTATTTTTAATTTTTTTAAATTTCTACATGTCAATTTTTTTGGAGTAATATATTTCTTAAAAATTATCAAATATCTGCTACTTCAATTCTCATTTTTATTATTATTATTACTATTTATTTTTTATTTAAAAATAATCAAGATTTACTTTTTAAAAAAATAATTTAAATATGCGCGGTAAAATTTACTTGTTGCGCCCTCTGACGAAATAATAAAGCGCTAAAATAATAAAAAATATCGGAGCTACACACTGTGCTGGTCGGGAGCACAGATACTGTCTAATTAATTTGTTATTAAGTAATAGAAAAATAATTTATTAAAAATGATTATCTCACGAGGTGTTAGGTTATTAAAAAATTTATCATTTGTATCAAAACAGCGTACACCGATAAATAAAATGCAAGTTAGAAACTCTGGTGGCGAGTAAGTACTAATTATATAATGTAATTTATTTACACATGACAGGTTAAGAACATCATATTTATGATACCAATATGAATACTTTCTGAATAAATAATTTCAATAGGTGTTTTTATCGCCAAGTGCCAGATGCGTCAAAAGCTGAAATGATTGCCGCTCATACTGTTGGTGGAGTAACGTGGTGGTGGATTCTGTGGCACTTATGGCACGATTGGGGACACATTGTCGTAAGTATAATTATAAATGAATTTTTTAATCTTTATCACGTTGTAATTACACCGAAATCAAATATTTAAAGATACTAAAATATAATAATAATAATAATAATAACAAATATTTAAAATGTCATTGACAGGGTGAGTTTCCTTATCCAGAGCCAACGGAATGGACTGATCAAGAACTGGGAATCCCACCGGATGATTATGATTGAGAATAATCGCTTTACTGTTTATAATTATTTAATAGATTGCTGTATTTAGAACTATAAATATACTGTAAGAAGAAAAACTACATAAATAATAACAGTAATTATAATAATAACATTGATATTGGATCACAAATTTTATCTTCAGTCAATACAAAAGTGTTCATTTTGAGTAAAAAAATTTTTTACTCTATTTAAAATTGTCATTCCATTCAATCATACCTTATCAGAAGAGATAACTATACATTACCGATATAAACATATCTTTCCGCGTTTTAATTAAACAATAAAAAGCATTAATCATTATTATCAATGTGATCCATCAAAGCGTAATGCTTATCATTTCCCAATAATCTTTATTATTAAAATATCTGTACAATCCACATGAAAATTTATATATTATTTTCTCCAAGTGAATAATTGTTATTTAAACATTTGAATCATACGGATACCATCAATGGAAAATTTTTATTCTTCGAAGCTATTTTTCTATTCTTCTTAATTAAAAAAAAAAAAAATAAATAAATAACGCAGTAATTCAAAGATCAACTAAAATCTTAGGTCAATTATTTTATTGATACGTAGTACTCATTAAATGATATTTAATTGTAATCACAATGATTGAATTGTTATTTTTATTATTATTTTTTGTGAGTATTTGATAACAGATGACAATAAACTGGCGCCGTGCGAGATCGAAAATCGGGATGGTGGGAGAATTAGTACAGTTTGTACTGGTTTAATATGTATATGTAGAATGAAATCTCTGTATATCATTTCTCCTCCAAGTCAGAGAGTCAAGTCAAGTCAACTTCTTTCTGCATTACATTAATATTAGATCTTTCGTTCATGTTATTTAATTTTCATTCTACTTTACACATACACATGTAAATATTTAAATAATAAATAGATTTTAAAATGAGTATGTAGAAATTAAAAAAAAAAGTTTGGAAAATCCAAATGAGCATGCCTTAAGCGCTCATGTCATACATAAAATATTTAGATCATAACAAAAATTATTATTAGTTTTTAATTTGAATTTTCCCGCGAGTAGTATTATCCCCTCTGTAGGTCGAACTAAAGAAAAATTTTAACAGATGATAAAACAGTTAGTAATTATACCATCATGTATGTATAGTTTCTGCTTGTTTATATAGTTATTTCAATTCTGTTTATGAAAAATAATACATATGGCTGCCGAAATCGCAGAAAAAGTCATCGAGCTGACAATCGAAAAAAATTAACTGTATCGAAACGGAATTATTTTGACACGCAATTTTCACAAGGGTTTTGATAAACTTCCTCAGGAATAAAACAAAAAAAAAAATTAAATCGTGAAAGTGATTTTTGACAAAGTTGTGGTGTTGTCAAGCCCATAGCTCCCATGAATACCACGCTCTTATTCATTTAATAATTCATCAGAAAAACGAGTTTTTTCTGAGAAATCTTATTTAATCGATAAGAAAATTTTTTTAATGTGTTCTATAGTTACTATTATTTATTTCAATACGCTTTTTATCCATAATTTTTTTCGTTTAAATTATGAAAATCACGTTTTAATCGAAATTACGATTTTTAGGCGAGAGTAGAGCATACCTGCGCGCTTCGCGCTTAAGGCATGCAAAATAATATTGCAATGTTATTAACAACAGAGAAAATGATAAGAAATATTATCAGGAGCAAGAAAGATAAAGAATAATTAAAAATTAGAGTAGGAGAATCTCATGTCTATGTTTATTAATTACATACATACATGGATATCTGTATAGTTATTAAAACATTTATACACACATATAAAAAGTATTTTCTGACTTAGTAGTAGAGAGGAAAAGAAAAACGTAAGCAGCGCCGCTTGGCAATTCTCAGTTACCGCTTCTGTTTGGGGCAGTACTGCATCTACACGATCGCTGAGAGCATTACACCAGTGAATAACTCGCGTATGATGATACCTTTTATTATTTCTTCACGCAAGGTACACAAATTACTGTTGTGCCGTCGTCAGTACTGTGTTTATAAAAAAAAATATTCAATTAAACAACTTTAAAAAATTCTTAACTGTGTTATAAAATAAATCTTAATTTATAAAAATAAAAATAAAATTAATTTTTAAATATTAAATTTACAAGTGTATGTGATCATATCGCGTAAGTAGTCTAGGTGGTTAAATGTACAGACAGTATTTAATTAATTAACAATTTCAGTATTTTTTGCAAATATACTTGCTGTACATAACAATCACAGTCACTATTTACAATACAAGTAAAAAGAGCAGAGTAAGATATACTAGTGTATTGTAGAGACATACAGAAGAGTAGAGCAGTTAGAGTAGTAGTGGTGTGTGCATGTGTGTATGTGTCTACCGCGACAGGTGGCTGATGCCGGTAAATTCATTTTTACATGTGATCCACTCGCATTCATTAAATATTACATATATCTGTATGTATAATATAATTCATACAAATACAATGTAACATAAATATGAGACATAACATGCAATGTATCATTTTAATTAAATAACAAACACATTGAATGAGTACTAAATACTTGTAGTTGCACTGAAAAAGTAAATAATTATCAATGTATGTAATAGTAAGTGTTAACGTATTCGCACGCGCGAGGTCATACACGCTCGTGCCATATGAGCTTGTTAGTAGTGTCGCGTAGTAGTTTTACTTACTTCACGCACGCACATACACGTTAACATAATACTACTATACAGCAAATACATTGGATTGGTACCAGCAATGGTAATGATAATCATATCAATACTAATATTGATATGATAAGTTATCAACAAATCAGTAATTTTATTTTTTTTTTTTTTTTTTCTAGGAATAAAACTGACAGTCTAGACTTGGACCTGTAAAATGAAAACTGGAAACTAACAGAAATTGTAACAAGTAATAACTTCAGTACTGTAACAATAACTATAACTACTATACTACAAACTACAGACTAAAAAAAAACATGCTAGTATGTTTGTACACTGCCGCTTCGGAGAACATCCTGAAATTACGTACTTCCGGATCCCTCCCCAATTCATCCTCACTATCCTATCCTCCTATCCTCCTATCCTCCTATTATATCCGCGGTATCCTCCCTACCCCTATATGTATAACCCTCTCTCCCTGCTCGAGTAGTCTTCTACTCGTTTTCCCGTTACACTCTTCTCTGTCCTCTCTTTCACTCAACATCAACTCCAAAGAGCGTCTCTTCTCCATACTATACCACTGAGCTCTGAGTCTGAGTAAAGCCAACCAAACCATTCTGTCACCATTACACTCTTGCAATACGAGCAATATTTGCAATACGAGCCTCTTTACAACTTGTATTAAATCTTTACTCTTTCGCTTTAACTTATTATCGTTTGTTATTATTATTAATATTAATATATAATACGACATATAGTAATGTGTCTTTCATTTAATTCTGGTCTGCTACACAACGATAAATATAATTACGAAAACCGTCTATAAATGATACGATAAATCGTTCAATATATATATATATATATATATATATATATATATTAATATTAATATTAATATTTTTACATGTATATTTATACTTATACAAACATAAATATATTTATACATGTAATATATTGTGTGCGTGTCTAGATATATACATATAATAGGCGAGAAACGCGGTTCGCATTTAGTAACAGTCAGTCGACTTTGGATAGTCGATTGTAAGTGTTCGTCATTGTCTGGTGTGTGTTTTTATGTGACTATTTAAAAACAATATTTATTTATTATTTATTTATTTATTTATTAACTAATTAATTAATATTATTATTATTATTATAATTGTTTGATGATTAACGAAAAATAATTTATTTAAACAATTATTAAGTGACCGGATGCGTTTAATTTGAGCCAGTAACTGATAAATAATAATATAAAAGTGGATTGGAAGTTAAGATAGTGGATAGAAGTGATTCGAGGATTTTTTGGAGATCGATCATCAACACCTGATCAAGGCCATCGGATGCGATCGAAAGCGAGTTGGAATAGTGGGAAGCAGTTGCGGGTGCAGCGCCTTAAATTTTTACCGCGACCAGTAAGTTATTTTATTTTTTTTTTTTTTTATTATAATAAACAATAAATAATTCATAGTTACTACTTAAATTTATTGTTTAGTAAGACAATGGTGAATATAATAAAATTTAATTATAAATATTAATACTTAATAATCCCTTTTAGTATACTAAGTAATACTTAGATACTTAAAGTATTTGTTTTTATTGTTCTTAAGCTAAGAATTTCTGCTGAGACTTTGGAGAAAATGAAAGAGAATAGAAAAATGGTTTACCAAGAAAATTATATTAAGTCGGTAAACATTTACCAGTTGACTGAAAGAATGAATAAGTAAAGCAAAGTGAATAAAATTAAAGACGAGTTTTAGAAATTCAGACAACGGATTATTTATTAAGGGCTTAAGATAAATAATGAGGATATTAGTTGACTGAGCAACTGGAACATTTTCAATATTTTATCCTTAATAAAACTTGTCATCTCTGTTAACTTTCTTATGAAATTTTTAATTTTCATCTATTTAGATGCCTCGGTAAATAAATATTAATTACTCCTCCATTCTCGAGGGTGATAAAAAAAAAAAAAAAAAAAAAAAACAACAACAAAAATAAGAATAAAAAATGATGAGCAACGTTAGATGTTGCGACTTACATTACCTGTCATCGATCATCGGCCCCTACCTTATTTTATTCTTGCAATGATCGATGTTACTTGACGCACGACAGCACGTACGTCACTGTCAAGACACGCTAGAATATTCTGATACATTACAATCGCCAGTACACACTGGATACGATCATTACATTGAAAAGTAATATTGATAAACTAAATGTCTGGCATTTAAAACCGTGCCCCCAACCACGCGTTAGTAGTTTGTATTATCTCCAGCTCTTACACTTTTCCATTTATTTTCTTACATATCTTATGAGGATATATTAATAAATTAAACATTATTTTATTTTATTTTAT